GGACTGTGGGTAAAGGAGTAGGAGGGTGGGATGGCCACACGCCCACAAGGTGGTATTGCTCTCAGTATTATTGTTATTGTTATTTTTATCCCAACATCATTAATGCGCAGTGAGTCAGAGCTGACTTAGAAGGTTTCAGGGCTGTCACTGAGAGCAGGGTGTTCGCTGGTTTGTCTTCATTTGGACACAATCGAGCTGGCTCCGGCTGCCCCCTTTTTGGTTTTCAGCAAAGCCAGCACTCGCTAGCCAGTTGGGGTGTGAAAAAGGACCTCCACGAGGCCTGGTCTTTTGAAGATTGGGGAGCCACAAGCACTCCCCAATTGCCTCATCATTCGGAGCTCTCCAGAGTGGGGCGACGCTGACACTTACTTGGAAGCAGAGAATAGCTTCTCAACAGATTTTGACATTTGGAAAACATCCAGAAACCCCATGTCCCCAGGGGTGAGGGAGTGCCAGGCTCCTGATGAGGTGGAGGAAGTGGAGAGGGGGTTTCAATAGAAGCCATCTCTCTGACCACCTGACTGCCTCTGTCAGCCGGAGGCTGGGAGAGGAGCAGTGGGCTGAATAAGAGGGGAGAGCGCCAAATGGAAATCTCATTTCCCTCAGTCCCGAGACCCACTTTGCACCCACTGAGGACTGGACTGATGCTTAATTAGCATGTGAAAATAGACGTTCTGCCTTCAAGCAGGGCACGGTGCCACCCCTTGCTCCTTAGGAGAACAAGTCAGGTAGGCAAGGGACTAGGTGCTTAATCAGAAGAGAAAGCAAGAGGGCTTGATTCCATGCTAAGGATTTGCAGGGAGAATGGACAATCAAGCAGTTTCTCCTTGTCATCTGATCTTGCACTTCCCAGCTTCCAGGACAGTGAGAAAGAAAGTTCTGTTGTTTATGAGCCACCCAGGCCATGGTATTCTCTTCTGGCAGCCTGGACGGACTGAGACACTGATCATTTCACCATGATATCCTACAAAGGCGGCCAGCGGTGCTAGTCATCATGCCTGCTCTGTTCCCAGCATTGAGCCCCACCCCCCCAGGCTTTAAGTTCAGGGCTATGTTCAGGGTTAACACTGTCTAACTGAGGTGGACGGCATGAAAGGAAATGGCCAGAGTCCTGCCGCTCAGATTTCAGCAGGACCTTAAGGGTTCTTCTGGTGGGGGCAAGGCCTCCTCTGCTTCTTCCCTGTACCCCAAATCTCAATCTGCTACTTATAACTTACCGAGAGAGACACAATAGGGAGTGGTGGGGATTGCAGCAAACCAGAGAGCCCTGTCTAGAGGGGGCAGCTGCTACTCAGTCCAGGAGATTATCTATATATATAACAGGCTAATATGCAAAGTGTCCCTATGGGAGTTCAACCGGGAGTTCTATCACTCGCTATGATGTGCGCTGACCACCAGGGGGCTCTGTGGAATGAACAGAGGCCCCGGCCAGCAGCTGGAAGCCAGGGAAGGGAGGCTCTGGCCAGCAGCTGGAAGGCCCTAATCAGCCCTAATCACTGTCCAGGCCTGGGGGCTCTACCTGTGCATGAATTTCGTGCACTGGGCCTCTAGTTTCATCATAAGAATAGAGATCAATGTGGTCAGGTTGTCCACATTTTTAAGAGAAGTTGTAAATATGATATTTATATAAAATTTTGAAATACTGGCAATAAATTCAAAGTTCAAATAGAGCCCTAGCTGGTTTGGCTCACTGGATAGCGTGTCAGCCTGTGGACTGAAGGGTCCTGGGTTTGATTCTGGTCAAGGGCACATGCCCAGGTTGCGGGCTCGATCCCCAGTAGGGGGCATGCAGGGGGCAGCCAATCAATGATTCCCTCTCATCATTGATGTTTCTATCTCTCTCCCCTCTCCCTTCCTCTCTGAAATTAATAAAAAATATATTTTAAAAAATATATTTTAAAAAAGTTCAAATAGAAATTGTCTCTTAGGACAGCGGTCACCAACCTTTCGGACCTCACGGACCACTGATTGGTGACCGCTGTCTTAGGATAAGACAGTGTAGCTCCAACAAATCATGTCTATAGTCCAAATCTTGCCCGAGGCTGCCTCTTTCTGTCCTTAGACTTAGGAAGGTTTTCATTATGGCAACACTTCTTTATTTCAATTAAGAAAGAAAATATAACTCGGCCGGCATGGTTCAGTGGTTGAATGTTGACCTATGAACCAGGAGATCATGGTTGGATTCCGGGTCAGGGCACATGACCAAGTTGCACACTTGATCCCCAGTAGGGGACATGCAGGAGGCAGCCAATCAATGATTCTCTCTCATTATTTATTTACTAGAGGCCCGGTGCACAAATTCGTGCACTGGTGGGGTCCAGCTGGCCCGCCCCTGATGGAGATCTTCGGGGGCAGGCTGGCTGGGGTGGGGGCCAATTAGGGTTGGGGCTGGCTGGGGCAAGGGGCCACAGGCGTTCTAGTCATTCTGCCATTCGGTCTATTTGCATATTACCCTTTTATTATATAGGATTTATTTTTAAAATATACTCTTATTGATTTCAGAGAGGAAGGGAGAGGGTGAGAGAGATAGAAACATCAATGAGAGAGAATCATTGATCGGCTGCCTCCTGTATGTCCCACACTGGGAATTGAGCCCACAACCTGGGCATATATCCTGACTGGGAATCAAACCGTGACCTCCTGGTCCATAGGTCAATGCTCAACCACTGAGCCACGCCAGCCGGGCCTCTCTCATTGATGTCTCTCTCTTTCTCTCTCTCTCTCTCTCTCTCTCTCTCTCTCTCTCTCTTCATCTCTGAAATAAAAAATGCATTTTTTTTAAAAGAAAGAAAATATATAGACTATTTTAACTTTATCTGCTCATTTCTCCATTAATGGATAATAGTCCCCTCACGCTCACAATGTGACCTTGATTTTTCACTCATTTATGCGTTCAGTGGTTGCTTCTTGCATGTGCCCTGCCTAGAAATCAAACCCACAACCTTGGCATATACAGACAACACTCCAACCAACTGAGCTACCTGGCAGGGCATGACCTTGATTTCTTTCTTTTTTTTAAAATATATTTCTTTATTGATTTCAGAGAGGAAGGGAGGAGAGAGAGAGAGAAACATCAATGATGAGAGAGAATCATTGATCGGCTGCCTCCTGCACACCCCCTATTGGGGATCGAGCCCACAACCCAGGCATGTGCCCTTGGCCGGAATTAAACCTGGGACCCATCGGTCCGCAGGCTGACGCTCTATCCACTGAGCCAAGCCGGCTAGGGCATGACCTTGATTTCTGAGGCAGCATAAGAAGCTACAATTGTGCTTGTCCTCCGAACATTCCCAGAAGTCACTGCAAGAGGTAGAGGAAGTGGCCAGTGGGACCCTGGGTCTGACCTACCGCAGAATCCCTCATGCTCCTCTCTTCCTGGCTAAGGACGCAATCCCCACGGAGGCTCTGCAGCGTCCCATCCTCCCGTGAAGCTATGTAGAGGGACTCTGAGTCCTTGCTTAGATGAGCTGGTGGAGAAAGTGCCATAGACGCTGCACCAGAAGAAAGAGCTTGGCAACCCGGCCTGTGCCACCCGGGGCTCGGGGCAGGTGTTGGGCAGGAAGAAGATGACCCACTGAGTGACCTGGACCATCTCCACCTAGACTTCGCTGCATGCAGAGCTGGGGTGGCAGATTCACATGCCTCCCTAGGCTGCTGGGGCCTGGCCCGTTAGCTGCCTGGGCAGGGGAGTAAGAGATGCTGCTGCTCTCTAGCCAAATCGAGTGACTCTCGGGAACCATATCTGCCCAGCAGCCAAACTACCTCTGGGAAAATTGGCAAAGATGGAGCTGGTGAGGCTGCGGGGAAACAACCACGCTCCTACTCAGCCCGTAGGATTGGCACGACCTTTATGATGAGCAATTCTCAATATCTGCTGAATAACAAGTGAATATGACCTTTGACCCAATAATTCCACTTCTAGGAATTTATTTTATTGAAAAGCCTGCCCATGTGCCAAATAAGGTGTTTATACGATATCGTTCTTTACAGCAATGTCATAGCAAAATATTGGCAATGACTCAAGAGTGTTCATTTTGGAGGATGGGCTCAATGAATATGGCAGAGGCATGCAATGGAAAATTATGCAGCTGTTAAAAAGAACGAGGACTCTATCTACTAGTTACTGGTAGTACTAATTTCTAGATATGCTGGTAAGTGAAAAAGCAGGGTGCAAAACTGTATGTATAATGCACTCTCGTTTGTGTAAAAAATGTGCGCCTACTTGTCTCTCTATGCTAAAAGGACCACAAAAAATTATAACTATTCCTTACGGTAGGGAGGGATACTTTGTGGCTGGGACTAGGGGAGAGAGAAACACTTTCCATCATGCATATTTTATAGCTTTTTTAAAAATATATTTTTATTGATTTCAGAGAGGAAGAGAGAGAGGGAGAGAGAGATAGAAACATCAATGATGAGAGATAATCATTGATCAGCTGCCTCCTGCACGCCCCACACTGGGGACCGAGCCTGCAACCTGGGCACGTGCCCTGACTGGGAATCAAACCATGACCTCCTGGTTCATAGGTCAATGCTCAACCACTGAGCCATGCCAGCCTGACATATTTTATATATATATATTTAAATCCTCATCCAAGGATATTTTTTCCATTGATTTTTTAGAGTGAAAAGGAGGGAGGAGCAGGGGGGAGAGAGAGAAACATCGATGTGAGGAAGACACAGCGACTGGCTACCTTCTAGATGTGCCCCAACTGGGTGCAGGGTGTGAACACGCAACGGAGGTACATGCCCTTGACCAGGAATCGAACCCACTACCCTTTGGTCTGCAGGCTGATGCTCTAACCACTGTGAAAACTGGCCAGGGCTCTATTTTATCTTTTAAATCCTGAACCATGTGAGTGCTGTTAATGTAGAAACAGAATTAGCATCTGAAAAATGGCAAGCTCACAAAGAAAAAAACACACCAAAGCAAAATCCATATCCCAGCATGGGTGCTCCTGGCTTCAGCCCCAACACCTCCCAGCGGGCACCGCTCTTACCTGCTCCTTCTCTGAATACGGGTTGTTGAGGACCACAGGCACGTTGCCCTTCCCCCACAGGTCATTGAAGACACGGTCATTCTCCACGCCGAGGGGCAGAGGTTTGTGTGACTTGGCATCCAGGTCTCTGGAAGGCAAGTGGGTGGCGTGAGGAAAGCATGACATGAGGGGTGGCCAGCGAGCTGGTAGCCCTGGTCTGGGATTCCCGAGTCAGTCCAGAGCCTCCATGGTCCACCCACATGACTACGTGGAGCCAGAGAGCACTGGGGGCCCAGCCTGCTGCCTCGTAGGATTGACAGCGCCCCACTGTCAAACACAAAGGTGAGCTCATCCAAGTTGACACCCATGGTTGGCATCCACCCGTCTTCGTGGACATCATTTCAGGATGGCCATGACATGGACTGTGCTCCTTCTTATTCCTTCCCTCATTTCAAAGATCTACGAACAGAGGAAGCCCACCTCCTAGCAGAACCCCAGGCAGAATCCCTGGACACAGTGATGCCCATCAGCCTTAATGATGTAGGAAGTAGGAGGCAGGAGGGATAGGGAAGGAAACCAGTCCCGTGGGCCAGGGTGGTAGGTCATCCCAACGCTAGGCATTGACAACAAGGCTAATGACACCAGCCCAGGGTAAACAGGAATGATTCTGAAGTCAGGGGAACAGAGCAGGTGAAAATAATACTATTAAAATGATGGCTAGTGTTTTTTGTGCACTTTACATATGTCTTGGTTAATTTAATCTTTGTGACAACCCTGTTAGATAGGAATATTCACCATTTTACAGATGGTAGAGGTGAGACAAGAGCTAAATTGCTGAAGGTCACAGGATCCCAGCCTACTCTTCACATCCTTCTGAAGTGGAGGCTCTCATTATCATTTGTCATCATCATCACCACCATCACACTACCATTACCACCATCATCGCCTCCACCATCTCAGGATCATCACCATCATCACTATCACAATCAACACCATCGACTTCTCTTCATCAGCCTAACTATCATCATTACACATAATCATCATCACCATCATCACCAGTGTTAGCACTGTCTGTATCACCATCACCACTGCCATAATCACTCTCATCATTATCATCACCACCATCCCCATCCTCTTCCATCATGACCTTCACCACCATTATTATCAGCCTCACAGTCATCATCAGATGAGGAAACAGGCTCAGAGAGGTTAAGTTACTAGCCTCAGTAACACAGCTAGTGATGGTGGAGTTGGGATTCAAACTCAGGCTTGTTCCTGACTCTAGAGCTTGACCTCTGAACCAGAGCTCACTCCCAGGCTCTGACCTTGAGTAGGTTCAGGAGGAGGCTCTCGGCAGGTTCCACAGCTGGCCACCCTCTGAGATGGAGGGGAAGCATGGCTGGGGTGGAACTGAGACTGCGTCAAAATCCAGACCTGCTCTTCCTCCCTCCGAATGCTGCCCTCTGCTTCCTGACAACCTGCTTCTTTTCAACCCTCCCCTCAGGGTTACCCTGACTAGGGCATATGTCTGCTCCCCAACCTTGGGCGTCTAGGCTGGCCCTTGTCTAGCCTTCTGTTCTCTGTTTCCAGCTTTGGGGACTCTGGTCTTGGCTCCAGAATTTCCCCTGATCCCCAATCTGGTGCTGACAGCTGTTTGGGATGAATCAGAAGCGTGGCCCTGGGCAGCCAGCTGCTCCAGCTGCTCACTGGGGTCCAGCCAGACCCCTCTGCGCCGTGTTTCGCAGAGTTCTGGTGGCCCTCGTCAAAGCCACTTCTGCTCTTTTGCTTGGAGAGCTCTGCAAGTGTCAGAGGGAACATACTGTGTTACCCTCTTTACTGGTAAAATGTCACCAAAACACACCGGCACCAAAACACACCGGGAGTAGTTCTTGATTACAGAACCCAAGGCAATAGTTTACCTACGTGGTGAAAAACAGAGGAAGCGTCTAAATGTCACTCAGCTCCTGACTCTGTGAGATCACACGACCATAAACCCGGATTCAGCAGAGAAGGGAGGAGCAGAGAAGGGAGGAGGCTAATACTGTTTGAGCATCTGTGATGTACCAGGTCCTTGCACAGAAATGATTTCATTTAATTGCAACAGATATTAAAAGCCCAGTTTTACAGATGCGAAAACTGAGCCCTGAGAGGTTAGGTTAGTTTCCCAAGGCTCCACGGTAAGCACACAGCAGGGCTGGGATTTGAAACTAGGTCTGACAGATGCTCGGCCGAGATCCTGCCTTTAAAAAACAAACAAATGAAAAAAAAAACACCAGAGACAGAAAAAAACTAGTCAGGATGCTCATGCGAAGCCAGAGGCTAAAGAGCAAGCAACCCAACATCGCTCACAGAAGGAGGCCCGTTTACAAAAATTACAGGGTCCAATTACCTAGGCAACTCTGAAATGGCTCCTGGGGCTCGTCTGTGTGAATCGACAGGGAGCGAGCACTTTCACCATCATCCTTTTTAAAAAGCCTTTAACAACTTTGTTTAAATAATGCTTTTGAAGTGTTCTGTCAACATGCACTTCTTTAAGAGTCCCGTGTGATTAGTAGAAGAATACTTTGAATATGGCACCAGGGGGAACAAGCAAGTTGAGTTATTTGGCTCCCATTCCCGCAGGGGCCAGATTAGAAGTAGATTTAGGTAGATGCCCAACCCCCAGTCTGTCAGTGGTAAGCGGGTCTGCGGGAAATGATCGGGCTCATTGCTGCAAATGCACTCGCCCTGGGCCTAGCTGCCTGATGGGCGTGGAAGGGCAGTGCCACCTGTGTAAGGACACGGGCTATTGGGCTCAACGCTTAGCATCGATGGGTCTAAGCTGTGCAACTTGGGGTATTCAGGATACTTGTCTTTCCTAATTCTCCGTTTGTTCATCTCTAAAATAGGGTTAATCATAATAACGCCTTGTTGCAATGGTTAAATGAGGTCACGCTCACAGCCCTTACACTTACCATCACCGCTCTTACTACTCATTTGCTTATGGGTCGATCAGATGGAAGCAGAGAAAGGAAAGTGTACTTCTGTGTAAGACAGTCCAGATTCCTCCAAGCCGGCGTGGGCTAGCGGGACCTGCCACGACGGACACATTCTACATCTGTGCTGTCCAGGCGTAGGCCACTAGCACATGAGGCAACCGAGCACTTGAAACATGGCTACTGTCAGTGAGGAACTGAATGTTTCATGTTTCTTTGTGGTTAATCCTCCCCTGACGATATTTTTCCATTGATTTTTAGAGAGAGTGGAAGGGAGGAGGAGAGACAGAGAGAGAAACATAGATGTGAGAGACACAAGGATTGGTTGCCTCCCTCATGCGTTGACCAGGGCTGGGGATTGAACCTGCAACCGAGGTATGTGCCCTTGACAGGAATCCAACCCAGGACCCTTCGGTCCACCTGTGGGCCGACACTCTATCTACTGAGCCAAACCAGCCAGGGCCTGAATGTGTAATTTTAACTGTAACTGGGTGTAGACAGCTACTAGTATATGTGGCTAGTGGCTATAGCATTGGACAGTGGTGCTGAAAATCTTAACGTCTCTGAAGACTGGGAAATGAGGCATCCATGGGTCCTACCTGGGACGGGGGTGCCTTCCCTGGGGGTCGGGGGACAGAGGCAGGGATGTCGCACTCAGACCCTTTTTGAACCATCACATCTTGTTCCTGGAGCCCAGGAATTTGGGGATTCTCTGCTTCCCTTCCAGACTCCCACCTCCCACCATGCTCAGCCCTCACATTCACTCTGTCTTCCACCTGGAGCATTTTCTGTGCTTTCTGGCAATGTCTAAACCAAAGCCATTTTTCTTCCACTTTGCTAGCTGGGTGATCAGACCCGAGCCAAGAGCCGGTCTAGCATCTCTACACCTTCTGGGAACCTTTGCCAGATCCTTCCAACCGAGGCTCCCTGCGAGGCAGGACGCTCCTACCGCGCACACAGTGGGGATGGGGATGTGTGGGGGTCTGGGCCTGACTCCACAGAGAGTTCTTGCAAGTGTTGATCATCCCAGTGCTGACCCAGGAGGGGGAACAGGTGGGCCAGGCCTGTGTGCAGGGCACAGCCTGCAGGTGGGGGCTGCCAGCTCTGGCCCAGCCAGGCGAGGGGCTGCTGAGGAGCAGCCGGTCCTGGCAGGAAGCCCTGCCTGCATCTCTCAGCAGACAACCCCCTCTCTTTGACCCCCCTTCTCGCCCACCCCACGCCAATAGCCTTGGGTTTCTGCCTCCACCTGGTCGTGGATTCTGGGAGCTGAGTTCTAGCAGGTGGATGTGGGGACTGTGGAAACCAGGCCTGTGGTATGGGCAAAGCTTTTCTCCAAGATTTCAGCATGCTAGAAAGGAAAACGGTCTCCATAAAGAGAAAGGTATGCCTTTGAGAGTCAGAATTCTACGGCAAATGCTGTAGCTGAGAATGGGGTTCGGGCCTCTGGGTTCGGGACTAGTCATGACTGTAACACCTCGTATCCCAAACGCCGGGCAGGATTCTCCAGTGTCTCCAGGGCCCAGGCTGGGGGATTGGGCTGAGTTTGGATCCTGGGAAACTGGAGAGCCCGAAACAGCCCCCCCCTCGGCCCCCGAGGCATCTCAGGGCCTCAGTTTCCCTTTTAGACTCTGAGAAAATACTCTGATGACCTCTGAAACTTGATGACTAGTGGTCAAGTGATCTGTGGCCAACACTGCAATCTACAAAGTCAGCTGTGTGACTTGGGACAAGTAACAGGAAAACAGGGTGCTATGAGGAGCAAAGACCTTAGCATGGGGCCAGGCCCACCTGCAGTGCTCTGTAGCGGCCGAACATAATGATAATAAAACCCAGGCGATTTGTGACAACGTAGATGGACCTTGAGGGCATTCTGCAAAGTGAAATAAGTCAGAGGAAGAAAGACAACTACTGTATGATTTCACGTATACGTGAAATATAAAAACCAAACAAAAGCAAACTCATACATCCAGAGAACAGGTTGGTGGTTACCAGGGGTAAAGGGGTTTGGAGGAAGGGCAAAATGGGTGAAGGGGATCAATTCTATGGTGAAGGATGGTAACTAGATTTACGATAGTGAACACTATGTAGTGTATACAGATATTATAATGTTATACACCTCAAATATATATAACCTTGTATACCAATTTTACCACAATAAAAAAACCTGCCAAAAAACCGAAACTCATGCTTGTCACAGAAGGCTCCCCTGCCCCCGAGTTAAGCTAATACTCTAGGGTCAAAATCGACTTCCGTTCCTCCAGCCTCATTCTATTGCCTGGTTTCTCTTTAACTCTGGACACTCATTGTGAGATTTCTAGGTAGAACCAGGACAGTGCTGTGTGTCCCCGGGCAGGTTGCTTAACCTCTCTGAGCTTCAGTTCTATAAAAGGGGGCTAAAACCACATGGCCTACTTAGGGAGCCTAACTCCTGCAAGGAGGTAATCTGTAAGTAACCCCAAGTGGCAAAGAAGTTATCAGAGCCCAGGGCGAGGCTGACCACCTGGTCCAGATGGAGGCTGGACTGGGGACCTTGGCCTCTTTAGAACCCTCCTTCAGGGCAGCAAGCTGACAACCTGGATTTCCTCTGCTAGGCAGCATTTTAAAGTGATCGCTCCCAAGTGCAGGAGGACTTGGAAGCCCCGAGTTTCTCTTCCTTGCAATCCCTCACACACTGCCACCACCTGCCAGGGCCGCCCCGCCACCTTGGGATGAAGGGATGAGGCTGTGTCTAGACTAAGCATCACTTCTACCCCCAGGTAAGGACCAGGGATGCCCCGTGAGGGAGAGGGACTAGATGGAGCAGAATCAGTCTGTCCAAAGGAAAGAGGGACAGAAGGAAGGGAATGAGGCCGAGAGAGTAGGAGATCAGGGGCACCGCTGAGAACCAGCCTCTGCTCAGACCCAGAAGTCACAGACCAGTAAACGAACCTGGGTGCGGGGCTCAGGGCCTGGCGGGCTGCCCGCCTCATGGTCACCTGTTCATGCAGCATCTGGGGTGCCAGTTCCCATCCCACCCCCACATGCAGCTTGGGTGGAGAGGCCCCTGGGAGGGTGCATCATTCCAGGCAGCCACATGCTCCAGGGGCCTGGACTGTGCCCGGCCTGCCAGCCCCGAGAGTGACCCCAAAGACACTGTCCCTGCGTTTCCTTTCCTGACCGGGGACACGGGTTCTTAGTGAGGCACTTATTTCAGCCGCTAGGAGGCCGTCTGGCAATTTGTGGGGGCACCTGTGGTTGTCACAGTGGGAGGGAGGTGGCTTCTGGGGTGACGGACATCCTGCAACACCAGGAACACTCCCCACACGAGCACTAAGGGTCCTGACTGCCACACCACCTCGGGACATTCACACAGATTTTTAAAAAAATGCCTAAATTGCTGAGCCATGATCCCAATTTGTTATTATGTATATATAGGCTTTAAAATAGACTGATTTTCCCAGGCATGCCACTGTTGCAACTAAATCAGAGGAATGGCATCGTTTTATTGGGAGCCGTTCACCATTTCAGGAAATCACATCACCAAGGCGACGCCGCCGTTGGTGGCATGCGAGGTACCAAAACAACACACGTGTGTCGATCTGCATCTGACTCGGCTGTGTTGGCGGCAATTCTATGTTTAGCTGCAAACACTGACCATTCCAGTGGAGTCGGGCCTGAGCCCTAATGTGAAATTGTAGGTTCTTTTATCATCAATTATTTTTTGCTCTGTCTCCTTTATTTTGTAGTTAGGGCATTAAATTGATTTTTAAAATGTCAAGTGTGGGTAGGTTATATGATCCATGAATTAGCTGCTGGTTAGTAAAGGAACATTTAAAAAGATCTGTTAAGCCCAGCCAGTGTGGGTCAGTGGTTGAGTGTCAACCCATGAACCAGGCGATCATGGTTCGATTCCTGGTCAGGGCACGTACCAGGTTACAGGCTCAATCCTCAGGTAGGGGGCATGTAGGAGGCAGCCGATCGATGTTTCTCTCTCATCATTGATGTTTTGATCTCTCTCTCTCTCCCTTCCTCTATGAAATCAATACAAAAATATTTAAATAAAAGATCTGTTAAAGGCGGGGGGGGGGGGGGTGGTTACTTTGAGTCCAGCATGGGTCTAAACCATTGCGCTAGGGGCACACGTGCTATCATTAAATATCCCTCATCCTTACCATTTATGTGAGTGGTTTCATGGAGCCCTGGACTTGCCCTGCATTGCTTTCTCCCAAATCTTACCTCCTGCAAAACAGTTTTTTCTGCTGCTTTCAGTCAAACAATTGCACGACGTGCCAGGTTGGCCCGGCTGCTGCCTCCTCCCCAGAGAAGGAGCTGGAATAACCCACTGGGCTGCCAGCTTTCCTCCCCACAGAATCAGAACACGCCGGCCTGGGCAACACGGAGGGGCTGGCACCCACTTCTTCAAGTTCTAGCCTCGCCTCCCACCTGATCCAAGCAGGAGCCCTGTTTGGGGGAGTTGGGGCCAATTCTCTACCTTGATTCCTCCCCCTCTGTTAGAGCCTTAGTTGCCCTCGACAGGCTGCCCAAGGAGAGAACCGGCTGAGCCTGAGGTTTCCCAATGCTCAGCTCTCTCCTCTCTTCCCAAGGCCTTGACACCCACCTCACCTCCTGGGTGGCCTGGGAAAGCCCCTCCTCTCTGAGCCTCAATCTTCTCACCCGGGACACGTGGACTGCAAACATACCCATCCTCGGGGTGGCTGGAGGGTTACATGGGATCAAGATCGGAAAACATGACACCAGCTACCATGACTGACAGCTCTGGGATTCCTGGCAAGGGATACATCCTAGCTGCTACGCCCATTCTGCTCTTGCAATTTTAAAGGGAAGAGGCAAGGGGGAGAGAGTGGCTGTGCCCAGCAGATGTCGGGGGCAGCTCAGGCTGGCTCCCGGGCTGTGAGGCTGAGCTGCAGCACATGCGCGCATGCACACCTGCGGGGCTTACCTGTCCACCTGAACTTCTGCATCTTTTGTCTCCGCCTTGGTAGGTCCCCCTCCGTTGATCCCTCTGTCGGCCGAGGTGAGAAGGTTCAGCACAGGCTTGATCTCTTTGAGCAACTCATTGTGCTCCTCACTGCACTGACGGGCGGCCCCGGCATTCTTCTTGGCAGGGTCCAGGCCGTTGGTGTGGGACAGCGAGCCGGCTTCTGGCCCGTTGTCCTGGGCGTGCTGGGGCCCGTTGCTGGGGCCTGTGGCCCCGTCCACCGCCAGCGGCTGCTCTTTGCAGGCTGACGACTGGTGTGACAGATCGACAGCCGTGGTGGGGGGGCCCAGGGGCCGTGTCACCCGGATGGTCTTGGGGGTCCCGTCCCCAGTAAAGGTGGTCTCCAGGTGCGTGGTGAAGCCCTCCGGGCCCCTCAGAATGAGGACCACGTGGGTCTCGGAAGCAATGCCCCTGAGCACCTCCAGGGCGCTGGCGTAGCTCATGTCCACCAACGGCTGGCCGTTGACCGCGAGGATGATGTCTCCGGCCTGGATGAGGCCGCTCTGCTCGGCGGCACCCCCTCGAATCAGGTCGGAGACGATCACGGGGGGCTTGCTCACCCGCTCCTTCACCAGGAACCCCAAGCCCCCCACTCTGCGCTTGAAGAGGCGGACAGAAATCACGTTGGGTTGGATTTGCTGGACACTGAACATGTGATTCTCCATGGTGTCCAGGGTCCGAGGGTCTGCAGACCTCAGACTGGGCCGGGCCGAGGTGGCTTCGCCAGGAGGAGCCCCGCTCAGGCTGTGCGGAGGAGGAAGGAGCCGGGGCTGCGGCGAGTCTCTTGGGCTTGTCTGACTTTGACGTCAACTCGGTATCACCCACTCATTGCTGTTCGGCGGTCGGTGGCATGATTTCACGCGCCTGCCTCCCTCCTTGTTCTCTGAGGAAGTGATGGCTGACCGGGCAGACGTCAGGAGAAGCGGTGGGACGTGTCCCTAAGCAACAGGTCAGGCGGACTGTGAGGGGAAGAATCTGGTGGAAGTGTCTAGAGGCCGCGCATGCTCTTGGGGGCTATTCCCTGGGCATCGCCAGCCCGTGAGACACAGACGAGATCCGGAGCTTCCTGAGCTGAAGAGAAGGAACAAGGGACAGAATGGAGAGAGTTTAAGAAGAGGTCGAGGTGGGAGTGCCCAACACTACCTTCAACACGAAGCCGGCACACGGAGACGTCCAGCCGTCAGACGCTCCGGAGGGACCAACCCAGAAACAAAATCCCTTTTCTTCGAGGAGGGTACTTTCCCAGTTGGCTGCAAACTGCCTGGGTTCATCTCCATGACCAAAGCCCTGGGTAACCACTCACAGTCCTCTCAGCCCCAGGAAGCAGAAGGCAAGACTCAGAAGACCTCTCTTATTTTTTCCCACCACCAGAAGCCACCCCTCCAACTGGTCACACCCGTGGCCTGTGTCTCTCTGCTTCACATGTTCCATCCACGGCTCAGGAGCTCGGCCAGCACGGAGCTGTGGGCTCTCCTACCTGGCTGCTCCCAAAGCCCCCGCCACAGCCCCTGGAAGGGGACACTGCCTTCCGCGGAGCCACCGGTTAAAGATGTCAATTGGCTTTTATGACCGTTTTTATAATTATTGACTCGTTCCACATTCAAAAGGGCAGACTTGGCCACCATCACAAACCCAATTGGGTATATGTACCAGACACAGGTCCCTATAACGCGTTGGGGGACATGGTACTTCACAGGCCACCTGAAACCCCAACGGAGAAACACCAGGAGAGTGGGCTGTGCATGCCCAGGTGAACATAAGCACCGAGCAGGTGCTCAGCGAGTGCTTGTTGAGTGGAGAAAAATCCCCAAAGACTAAACAGAGTGGACAGTTACTGAGCACAGGCACTCTTAACAGGATGTTTCTTCTCTGATTCGCACAGTAACCCTTCAATAGACAAGAAGACCAAAGCTTGGGAAGGGTCAGTGACCTGTCCAAGGTCAAGCAGAGAATGATGGCGGAGGGAAGATTTGAACTCAGATTGGTCCCACTCTTGAGCCTAAGCTTTTAAACTTATAGTCTAGGTTTAAAACATTTATATTCTAGTTACAGTGGGGCCTTGACTTACGAGTGTCCCGACTAACGAGTTTTTCGAGATATTAGCCGTCTCTCGGCCGATTTTTTGCTTTGAGTTGCGAGCTAAAATTCCGGTTACGAGCCAGCTTCAGATACCCCACTGCTAGTTGGCGCAGCAAACGTCACAGTGAACACAACATCAGCCCAGCATCACGTGTCTCACTCGTTCACTTTTTGATTTTACATACGAGTAATTTGAGTTACGAGCTCCGTCACGGAACGAATTAAACTCGTAAGTCAAGGCCCCACTGTATTTTTACAACTCCCACCAGCTCCTCCAGGCTCAGGGAAGCTGAGTGGTGAGCTTGGAGAGCCGAAGGCCAATAGGCCGCCGTGGCTCAGGTGAGGAGTGTGCGCCTGTGGCATGTACACAGCGGGCAGGGATGCAGGTGTGTCTTATGTGTCCGGGCTGGGGCAGGTGGACTGGGGACAAGTGGGGGGCAGTGGAGAACCCGTACAGCCCTTTCCTTACCCCCAGATCCATCCACCCCTCTGCGGGCATTCACCATGCCTTAGCGCAGGGAGGGAGCTCCCATCTGCCACTGCTAACAACTCCCTCCCTCCTTTCCCTTCTAGCAGCTTCCCGGGGTCACCCCGGGGCTGGGTTGAGGCAGATGACAGGCTCCTGCTACCTCTGAGAGCAGGACGTGGATGCAGACACCCCCATGAGCAGGAGGTACCCCCTCCTGGGTTCCCCACGGGGCTGGTTAGCAAGTTAGGCCCCCCCCCCCATTTTACAGCTTGCTTTACGTAACTCCGCCAGTCCCTCTGTGTGGGTGAGGGAATAATGACTGCCCGGCCCAGCCCAGGCTGTGTTCTCCATCTGGTGTTGCTGTGTGTGTCTCTCTGTGTATTCATGCATCGCCTCGCGCGGTGTCATTTCTCTGCTGTGTGAGTGTGCGTGTGTGGCCCGTGGCGACGGGCGGAGTGTCTGCCAGCATCCTGCTGCAGGGGCTCTGGAACCACCGTGCTCTCCTGGCCGGGGAGAGGATCGGCCCGCCCTGCCCCCTGCTGCCTTAGCTCTCCGTGAGCCCACTCCTTCCCGGTACCAAACCCAGGATGTTCACTGTGTAGCTGGAAGCAGAGCCAGCGGGGACCTCCCGACCGCTCTTGAGTGGGCACTCGGCTGAGGTCTTTAATTAAAGAAGAGACTTGAAGGGGAGCTCCTGGTGGGCGAGGCCCCCATGCTCGCTTCCTCCACACGCTGGCCTGGGCCGGACCTTCCCTAAGCACATAGGCTGGGCTTGGCTCAAGAAAAAGCAATAAAGCAACTCACAACCCCACCCCCCAGCCCCGCCTCTCTCTTTCTTAGCTGTTTTCAAATCAGACAGGGCTGTTGGCAGGTGCTTGGGAAAGTGGGGTGCTGTTTCTCAGACTTTGGCTCTAGAAAGGCAACTTGAAATTTGGAAGGAATTGGAAAGGGGCTGGGCTCGAGAGGCAGGAAGAAGTCCAAGTCCGAGGGACAGAATGAGAGTGAGCGACAGAGAACACAGCCCTGGGACCAGGTGAGTGGATTCTGAGTCCTCACTGTGGCCAATCCTCACCCTAAAACACCCCCACAATACGAGGTGTCTCTCTTTTTCCTTCCCAAAGCACACCCTCCTCTGCTGTCATATTTTTATTCTCACCCGGACCAGTGTCAGGGTTGGCTATGCCCATTTTACCGATGAATAAATTAAGCAACTACAGGGAGAGCCCCTTGTCCCGCTTGCAAATGCCTGGTGTCCAGCGGGCTCCTCAGTCCTGGGCCAACCTGGAGTGCTGGCCACCCTTCTGCTCCAGGGAAGATTTTAAAGGCCCCTTCCGGCCCTATCTGTGTGTTTCTGGGTGAGTTCTTTATTTTCTTGGAGCCTCAGTTTCCTCATCTGTAAAATGGGATCATCATGTAATGATCACCTCCCTGGGAAACTGGGAGGATTAAATGAACCAGTGAGTGCAGGGTGCTCGGCAAGATCACAGAGCGAAGGCTCAGGAAGACACGGCGTCCTGTCATGTTGCACGGTGTCACGCCTCGGGCTCTCTGGCTGACCACTGAGCTCACTTTCTACTCCACTGCAGTCTCGCCAGCAGTGCATCGCGTGCCACCTAGAAGGAGGCCCTTTGTTTGAAATCACACCGAGGACTCCCACGCCAGTCACGGTGGGCGCACTGACTACAACCGGCCTCTGCTCTTTGGAGCCGCGACTTTACACAAACCCTGTGTGCGTGCTGCCCGAGCAAGTGCCAGGGAAACGATTCTTGGACCGGGCCTCGTTCAAGTAGCTCAGTGGTCTCGGTGTATTTGTCTCCATTACCTGGCTGCGTGGAAACGGCGGCTGGCTTTCAGAGAGGAGCAGGGAGCCAAAATAGGCCAGCGTCTGCCACCACCCCAGTCTCACTGCCGTGCGACCTTGGGCAAACTGCTCCCCGCCCTGGGCCGCGTTTCTGCGATCAGAGGAATGGTGACAGTCACAGTCCCGAGTGACCGAGTTTACTGTGTGTCAAGCAGGGTGCTGCTGACAAGGTGCTCGAGGCTGAGAGGAGTGACGGGGAGGCAGCCCTGGGCCTAAGGGAGTGGACCCTGAGGCCTGGCCAAGGTGAATCCCAATCCTAACAATAATCCCACACAATCAGGCCTCCCTCCTTTTCCTCCCCGAAGCACATCCTCCTCTGCAGCGACCTGACCAAGGTCACGTCCGACCGTCCCCGTTTCACAGATGCAGAAATTCAGCTGAGCAGGGAGACCGGCCTGCCTGCCCTGGCTGCCGTGGCTTTCCAATTCTGCACTGAGGTCGGAGGATTCGGGAATCAGCAGCAGCTGAGGGGTCAAGAGCTGTGCCGCCGATACAGCAGCCACTGGCCACATGTGGCCACGGGACTCCTGAGCTGTGGCTGGTTCCACTGAGATAAGCTGTATGAGTAAAATGAACACTGGATTTCAAAGACCAGCAGGACACAAAGAACATAAAATATCCCTAATTTTCCAGTTTCTGTCACTCATGTCGAACTGATAATGTCTTGGATACATTGGGTCAAGCACAATGATTAGAAAATGTATCCACCTGTTGCTTTTGACTCTTGAGAATGAGACCACTACACAGTTCAAGATCACGCCTGTGGCTCACACTGCATTGCCGCTGGGCAGCGTGGTCTGGAGTCTGGTTCTAGCGTCTGGCTCCTGGACCAGAGCTCTTCCTCGTGTCCCCCAGTCCCGTATGTCCCCTCGGGAATCTACTTAGCCAGGCAGTAGATACTTCCATCTAAAGATACTGGAAAATTGACACAGAAGGTTAGCAAACATCTCACCACTGTTTGAGGCTGACCGCTGCAAATGAGGCTGACGGGGTTAGAACGGGGAAGGAGAAAACCCAGCGCGAACCCTGTAGAGAGCCAGGGAACAGGAGGGTGTCCCCTGGGGTGACCGTCCAGTACTCAGCCTCCTGCCACCCAAACGGCCTTTAAAATCTAACCTGAGGATCCAATAAATGTCTCATCGAAGAGAATAAAGCAGTTCCCCATTTGCAGGTAGAAAATGAGCTCCAAGATATACCATTAGGTAAAAGAAAGAAAGAAAAGGAAAGAAAAGAAACCAGTGCGTACATGCAGAGACCATTCTGGAAGGAAGGAG